CTGGGAGGCCAGCCGCATCCCCTACGCCTGGCGCTGGGAGGCCGCCACCAGGAGGGCCCGTGGCTGGGCTCGCGGAGGGCGCTCGTCGGAGCGCGCAGCACGGCCGCAGGCGGTGTACTGCGAAGCAGCGCGGGCCGACGGCTACGAGTGCGCGGTGACCTGCTTCGACCTCGTCGAGTGCTTCGAGTGGGTTACGCATCGGACGGTCTGGGAGGCAGCCAGGCGATGGGGCCTCCATCCCATCCTCATGCGCGTTGTCCTCCAGATCCACAGCATGGTGCGGCGCATCGTCCTGGACGGGTGCTGCGCCGAGGTCAAGGCCTGGCATTGTGGCGTCGTCGCGGGCAGCAGGTGCGCACCGTTCTGCCTCAAGATGGTGGTCCTGCTGGAGTTGGGCGAGCTGGTCTGCCTGTTCCCACGGCCGGACACCTGCCTCTTCTTCGACGACCTCGCCATGGCCACGCGCGGCATCCGCGAGTTCGTCCAGCATTTCCACCCGCTGCCCATCGCGTCCGTGGTCTATATGCTGCTGGACATGTCCGTCTCTAGGGGCGCGGCAGGGAAGACGGTCGCACTGACCTCCACCACCGCGCTGGGCAAGAACATCGCAACTACCTCCAAGCACCTGAGCGTGAAAGTCGTCAAGCAAGAGAAGCACGGCGACCGCGGGCAGAAGCAGACGAGTGGCGGCCATCAACAAGAGGGCGCTGACGTTTGCAGCGCGAGCGGCACGCATAACAGCCGTGCGGAAGGCAGGAGGGGCAGCGCACAGGCTGGTGAGACATGCCCAATTGCCCGCGCTCCTCTACGGCTCCTCGACGGTTGGCATGGCGGACTCCAGGCTCAACGAATTACGGACACAAGCGCGGCGACGGCGAGGGAGGGCAACACCAAAGGCAGGTCGACCATCCTCACGCTGCTGAGCGACGACGCCGGCCCAAGGCACCCCGGTCAATAAAAGCCCCATCATGGCGTGGGCGACTGCGTGGCAGGAGGCGCTCGCGGACACGCAGCTGGCAGAGAGGCTCCACAGCGCATACGTAGCGCACTTGGGTCATGAAGACCGCCAAGTGCAAGGCGCCGTGGCTGACAGTGCGCGGACCTGCGGGGGCGTTTATTGCAACGGTGAGGCGCCTTGGGCTGGATGACACAGGCCGCGCGCGCCGTTGCCATCGGCGTCGCCGTCTACGACCAGCGCTACATCAAGCTGCAGGAGATACAGCACCACGTCGCCACCACCACCGAGCAGCAGCTGAAGGACGAGTGGGTGCAGCAGTGCGGCCACCAGTACAACATCAACTCCCTCTTCATCGCACCTGCGTGGTCGCTACCACGATGGCCACTGGAAGGACGCTGGGCCCATGTACATCGCACTCGATTGCGCGGGCTACCCTACGGTGGCATGTGGTCTCAAGCGCGCCCCCATGCGGAAGGGGCAGCACCAAGCGACATCTGCCGAGCGTGCGGGCTGGCACCAGGTACTGACTGACATCGTACCTTTGTTTGCCCCGCTCGACGTCAACACTGTGATCTAGTGGAGGGCCTCCATATCCAGCAGCGCGGCACCAACCCATGGCTTGATCAAGGTGCTCAAGGACCACGGGGGCGAGGCATCGCAGGATCCCGCCCTCGAGCAGTTTCTGAGGATGTCTCAGGCGAGGCGCTTGTTTCAGAACCACCAGGAGACCATATTGCGAGAATGTCTCAGGCGGTTTGCTTGTTTCGGCGAGCACATAAAGGTGCGAGGTGCCTGGGTAATGCTTCTGGGGTGCCGGGTGCGTTATACTTTCGCTGGAGAGGGGGGGGGGCGGTTCTTCATTGCCGGATGAGGTTAGGCCGCTGGAGCCTGGAACCGAGCGACGCCTGGCTCAACAAGGGCGACTGGATGGGCCTGGCTACGGGGAGCATTTATGTGGACGGCTCGTTGCAGCACGGCGATTGTGCGCCCTTGCGACGAGGAGGCTGGAGCTTCATCAAGCTGAAGGCCGACAACGAGATCTGCGACATAGGCTGCGCGTGCTGCTGGCCGCTGCCCGGAACACGCCCAATGGACGCAGAGCGTCCTGCGCGCGGAGCTGCGCGCGCTGCTGCAGGCGCACAAGGTGGGCGGGTTGCCCTCGGCGTTCAACGTTGAACGCCGCCGGCGGGGCCGCCGCCGGTCGACAATACACGAACCTACCGTAAGCAGGGGGCCTTGTACCATACCCGCCCCGTCGGGAGCAGGGGGGCCCACGTTCAGAAGCGCGAGCTCCGGTTTGGGGAGATCCCGGCAGCCGGCGGCGATGCAGGAGTCCTGCCCCATGGGCAGAGTCGTCGTCGACCCTGCACGCGGGGCTCGAGCCCGACGGCTTCGGACCCACGCGGCCCCGCCCGGGACCTGCGGGACTCTCCCCGGGGGCCCTGCGGCTGCCGGCGGGAGGGGAAACAGAGGCCCTGGCGGCCTCCGCCCCGCCCCGGGCGTCCACTCCCCGGTGTCGGGCCGCTCGGTCGGGGAGCCGTGTAGGCTCGGGAAAACGGGGACTCCAGTTGGCCTGGCGGGGGCACCATAAAGATGACGAGGCCTCCTCCTCCCCCCCTCCTCCCCCCTTCTCCCCCCTCCTCCCTCGTTCTCTCTCCTCCTCCTCTTCCTCCTCCTCCTCTTCCTCCTCCTCCTCCTCCTCCTCCTCCTCCTCCTCCTCCTCCTCCTCCCGCTGCAAGCATCCAACGAAAAAACGCCGGACCGTCAAAGTCCAGACCGCGCGCGTCGAAAGACGTCGGCAGACCCGAGTTCTGGCTCACTCGAGTCTTACGTTTCCCCGACTCGAGCACGGGGCGCGGCGCACAAACTGGTGCTCCGACAAAGTTTTGTGTTCTGTCGTAGGTGTGCCAGCTACACCCGCGACAGGCGGCCGGGCCTATTTTCCCCATGTCGCCCGGGGGTCCAGAGGGTGATCGGGGGTGGGCTGAATCGTCTGTGGGAAGGGTTACACACCACCAATGAGCAGCCCCTCAGGGGCTATCCTGGAGTTTCGGCACGGCTCGGGGTCGGCCCGAAACGGCCCGACCTTCCTCGGGGCGAATCCATGGGGCTTTCGCAACCATCCGCACGATCCTCTACTTCTTTCTCCCTCTTCCCTGGAAGCACCTGGGGGTCTGTGGAGGCCCTTGGAGACCCCCAGAGGCGTCCAAAGGTCTGGAAGGCCCCTTGAGGCCACGACAAATGATAAACGTCCTAAAACGCGGCACGCATCCTCCTTCAAGTGTTGACTACACAGCTGGCAGAGCTATCAAGTTGAGAGGTAGATCCGCCAAACTTGAATCTCGGATCACGTCGGCGAGTCGAAAGGCGGTAAGACTGCTTAAGCAGCAACATTAATTTCTGAAAGGGGCAGCCATCAACGTACATTATGCTGGCCCTATTGCTGGAACTAGCTACGGGAGTGAGATCACGGGTGGTGACATCAGACTGTGACCTCATCCTTCGCCGTCGCTGGCTCTTCAGCACTGTTCGCCCCTCCAACGTCCTTGCTCACCACCTCGGTAACTACCCTTGCTGGCACAATGATGAAGTGATGCATGAAGGGGCCCAGGGACAAGCATTAAACAAACACACATCCCAGGCTTCCCCATCTGTTCTACATGTTCTGGATGTTCGTCTTCCCCTCTGCTTCCAATATTGTCAACATGTCCTTGTGAGTCGACGATGATTGGTGTATGTGTTTCTTCTCTCTGGATGCAGTCCAATCAGTGCACAGCTCGGCGTTTTGTTCGCCTCTTAGCCTCCCTCCTTTACTCCGGGCGTGGAGCTGCGTTGGTGGACAGGACGCGCGCTCTTGGCGTCGAGTGGCTGGCCCGTTGTTAGCGTTCAGAATGACGGTTGCTCACCTAAGCTGTGTAATGTTAGATACTGCCGCTTGCGCGCGCGCTCACAGCAACGAGAGGACTTCGAACGGGCCGACCCGGATTGAAATCAGCGGGGTATCAGGCGCATGTGCTAAAGAAGCCTCCAGACAGAGAAAGAGAGAGAGAGAGAGACAGACAGACAGACCGACAGAAAGAGAGAGCGAGAGAGAGAGAGAGAGAGACACGAGGAAGGAGAAGGACAGAGAAGGGATAGCTCTGCCTCCCAAGCTCCTGCACGCCTTCACCGTCGCCCGCTCCTCCTCCCTCAGTTCGGCGATAGGCCCCCGATAGCAAATCCGCACGCTCCTGGGCAAGATAGGGCTATGAATGGGCGACCCAGGGTCGACGCGATCTCAGTGTCGACGCTCGGGCCCCTATCGGCGATGAATGGGCGACCCAGGGTCGACGCGATCCCTGCAAAGGCCAAATATCCCCGTGTGGCGGCGCGCACGAGGGGGTATGCGGCGTGCACGAGGCTGTTTCTAGGAAGGCGAGGGCATTACATCCACAGACAAGGCCCACGCCTTCGAAGAAGCAGGGGTGCTAAGAAGCCCTCCCTCCTCCCCCTGCCCCCTCTGCGCGTGGCCGACCCGTATCGTTGCCCCGATCCTGTCTCCTCCCACCTCCTCCCTCCGCCGGGCAGGGCGGGACAGAAGTACTGCCGCAGCTGGCGTTGAGCTTTCAGTTCCATCCTTGCGGTCCCTCCAAGAACTGTTGGCGGCTCGCACAAAGGGGGGTGGAGGGAGGGGGGAAGGCTTCTTAGGAGGAGGCTGCTTCTTAGAAGGCGCCGGCCTTACATCTATAGCTAAGGCCCACGCCTTCTAAGAAGCAGGGGTGCTTCTAAGAAGCCATCCCCCCTCCCGTAAGCGCTCGCCCGTAAGCGGGCCACGCCCGCAGTAAATTGGACAGGAGGAGGAGGAGGAGGAGGAGGAGGAGGAGGAGGAGGAGGAGGAGGAGGAGGAGGAGGAGGAGGAGGAGGAGGAGGAGGAGGAGGAGGATAGGAGGAGGAGGAGGAGGAGGAGGAGGAGGAGGAGGAGGAGGAGCGACCCCAGACGGCGCTGCGGAGCTTGACGCTCCCTCCTGCCGAGTCGAACCGACCCTCCTCCCCGGTGCGGCGCCTGCATCCGCGAGGGCAAGTGCCGCCGGTCCCTCTCCTCTCCCGGCCTCGGCGGCGCGCGCGCGCGCTCTGAGTCGGCCACGTCCGCGTCCAGATGCCCGATGGGGGCGCAGAGGATGGAGAATCGAGGGAGAGGAGGAGAGGGGAGGAGGAGGAGGAGGAGGAGGAGGAGGAGGAGGAGGAGCAGGAGGAGGAGGAGGAGGAGGAGGAGGAGGAGGCGGAGGAGAGGACGAGGAGGCGGAGGAGGACGAGGAGGCGGAGGAGGAGGAGGAGGCGGAGGAAGAGGCGGAGGAGGAGGAGGCGGAGGAGGAGAAGGAGGAGGAGGAGGAAGACGAGGAGGGGAGGAGGAGGAGGAGGAGGAGGAGGAGGAGGAGGAGGAGGAGGAGGAGAAGGAGCAGGAGGAGGAGAGAGGAGGAGGAAAGAGGTGGTGGAGGGGGAGGAGGATCGAGAGGGGACGATAGAGGGAGGAGGAGGGATGAACAGGCCCAAACCTCGGGCGCGTCCCAAACAAAGCCTGGCGGCTTCTCTCCATTTCGGCATCGTGGCCCGCTCCTGGGCCCCGTGAACAGCAGAACACGACCTGTGATGCAAACGCGTCCCAGGGAAGGGGTCAAGACTTCTGGGGATAATTGAACCTCTGAAAATCAATCCGTGGGTAAGATTGGGGGGCAAGGCGCAGGGAGGAGGTGGGAGAGGAGACATGACTAAGAGACGGCTGAGGATGATGATGTTGGTGATGCTGTTGATGAATATGATGATGATGCTGCTGATGATGATGCTGATGCTGATAATGATGCTGATGCTGGTGTTGTTGAGGATGATCTTACGATGATGATGGTGATGATGATGGTGGTGGTGGTGATCTGTATGTATATTATGTAGACTGTATGTGTACATACAGAGTAGGGAGTGTTATATGTAGGTGCATGTATACAACTATATTGATGTACAAGAAGACGGGATTGATCATGAGGACAAAGAAGAAGAAGAAGGTTGAAGAGAGAAGAACCAAGAGGAAGGAAAGGAGGCGCAACGGCGTTCTGGGGATTCCGAGTGTGGCTTCAGGATTTGCTTATCGGGTCCTGCGAGGTGCCAGGGGACACTCGTTGGCTTCTTGGGGGGGGAGGGGAGAATGAGGGCTACGCAGGCGGAGGATGAAGGGTGGGAGGCCAGAGATGATGTGATGACCAGGTGCTGCTGAATGCGGGGCTGAAAGGGGGATCGGGCAGGAGGAAGGCGGGAACGAGCAAGAGCCCCCCCCCACTCCGATCCAAGCCCAACCGCGGTCGGGTGCAGGCCATTTTCGCTCACAGTCGATCCCCTGGACTTGTCACAGACATCAGCCCGACCCATTCTCTGCGCTGCGGCTACAGAGGAGGCCTGACCACAAGATACCGTTCACAAGAAACCCAGCCCTGAGACCTGAGGACGTCCATCGCAAAACCATCGAAACCCAAGAAACCCAGGGCACCCTGGCAGGGTGTTTCTTGGCATGGGCCCCCGCTGTACCTGTGGCCACGAGGCCCCGCCCCAAAGCCCAAGGAAAGCTAGAACGACTTCATATTCAGGGAGGGCGTTGAACATACAACACTGGCGGCGGCTTATTTTTTTCAAAACATGGCCCCCCGATGTCTCGACCCCTTTACCCAAGGACAAAGCTTTATCTTGAATTAGGTTCGAATGATATTGCGATTGGCGTCGACCTCCAGAAACGCAACTTTGCGAGCAACCGGCTGTCTTGAGTTCTCCAAGCGAACCTTGAGCCCCAGACATTCGACGACGCTTTGTTTCAATCCGCGTGCCCCGAATCTCGAACGTTCCCTGGGGGTGCCAGTCTTCATCCCGGATAGTCTCGGAAACAGCCCCCGACGGCAGATGTTTGTTGACAGGCGCCGTAATTGAATAAAGCAGTCCATCGAACGTCTGGAGATCATCGAAGCGGACGCAATCGGGCACGAGCGAAACGAATCCCCACACGCGAACTCCTGCCAGTCCAAATCTCTGGGCGGCGGGGGGCTGAGGGGCAACGATAGGGGGGACTAGCTCACGGGGGGGGGAGACATCAACTTGGAATCGGCGATGCATTGCCGACGGATCAGCGATAGGCACCCGACAGCGAAAGCCGCACGGTCCTGGCGCTGTGATGGGCCATCGGGCTTCCATCGGCGATCCATGGGCCATTGGGGTTCGAGGCGTCCCCTCCCTGCGCCTGCAGTCGGCCCGCATCACCAGGATGCGCGATGAGGATGCAACGGGCCTTGGACGCCCATTTCGCAGCTTTTCGAGCGGGGCGCGGCCAACGAAAGTGGCCAAGGATCGACCGAGGAGGCAAGGATGCAAGGGGCACCCTTGGGAAGGTTGCCCACCCTTCTCATGTGGGCTGACTGCATCCCTCCCTGACACTGCCACTGAGGGGCAGGGCGCGGAGGTCGGCACCGATCGAACTCCTCGGCTGGGCCAGCCCGGCCCACTCCAGGGACGCGCAGCGCCCCCGCCGACCGAGCCTTCCGATCCTTCGGTGGCAACTCATGGGAGCCTCCAGTACCATCTCGGCGGCTCTTGCAGATCGACGCTGATCGGCGCGAAGCCGACGCCAATCGATGCTACATCGACGCTAATCGACGCTAGCCGACGCTACATCGGCGCTATCTCGTCGACTCCAGACGCTAATCGACGCGTTGATCTCCTTCGTTTTTGAAGCATGACTTTCGCGTTCTTGCCTGTTCGGGCTTCCGTCGTCCCAGGACGGCACAGTAGGTCTCCAAGATGGCCCCAAGACTGCCCGGGCATGCTACCAGGATGGACTCCGCAGGCGCCTAGCTGCCCAAGAGTGCCCAACGACGGACAAAGCAGCTACCAAGAGGCCCCCAAGACGTCTCCAAGAGGCACACAGGAGGCACCCAAGAGGTACCAAGCGAGGAGCAAAGACGAGGAATACAGGAAGACGACGACAAACACGAAACGAGACACTCCGACACGACGCGGAAGAGCGTGACACACTCTACGACACTCCCAAGACTCGGGGCACGAGGTGTCGCACGTTACGGCTCCCTGTGCTCTCTTCGGGCATTCGCCGCCCAGAAGGCTTGGCCGTCGCTGTGACGGGACTTTCTCCAAGCAGCCAGATAAGGGGCCCGCCCCAAATGCTCGGAATCAAAAAATAGATTGACATGTCTGGGAAAGCACACACACAAATTGCTGCCGCTAGCTCTCGGACAATTCACGAATCGACGTGTCAGGGTGGGGGTTCTGTTCACCCCCGAAGCTTCCGCTAAGACGCGCCCCTCCACCCAACACAATCAAAGGTGCTCCGAGCTCCCGGCGAGAGCGAGTACACCGTGAGGTAGAGCGGTGGCTTGCCGTTCACGGTGTCCAGGCTGACGCCCTGGAACATGGGGATGGAGGCCACCTGCCAGCCCAGCAGGTCAACGGCCCTCGATGGGCCCCAGAAGCCGAACGTGTGAGTTTCGCCAGCCTTGGAAGAAGAGAAAGGGACAACTGCGTAAACGTAAACTTTCAGAGCTCCGCCTAGATTTCTCGGGTCTGTGCTGGGCCGTTCTGGCGGCGCCGGAGGCGCCGCCCATGGCACGCTCCGCGCGCCTGGGAAGGGGATGCCGCGCCGGTCCAGAAAATCCGCGCGGACCTCTGAAAGTTCATGCTTCTGCACCTTTTCTCCATCGTGCCTCGAAGGTGACCTGGGCCATGTTCCTCCGGAACGCCTGGGGGTCTCGGGCCTTGGTCAGTCCGAGCTTCGGGAAGCTGGCGTCGACCAGGCTCGGCGGAGCCTCTGGGATGTACTGGTCGCACTCGACTAGGGGAATGCTGACCATCGGCTGCTCGACGTCGCTCTCAGCGCGTCCCCGCGGGTCGTCGCCAGGGCTGTGGTGTATGCCTCGCATCGCAGGCCCTGCCATCTTGACCAGCCAGCGGTGCAGCTGGACCCCCGCCTGCCCCAGCGGTTGCCGCTCGAAGGGCTGCGTGGCTATCCGCATGCTGTGGGGCGGCATAGCCTTCTTGAACGTGCACTGTATCCGCACCTCCCACAAGCGCTTTTTTCCTGGGGCGGGAGTGAAGCCATGCTAGAACGGGCTCAGACTGCGTTCAAGGATTTCCGAGAGTACCTGGCGGCCCTCGTAGCTGGTCCCCGTGCGGAGCAGCCCGATATCCAAGAAATCTTGGAACGCATCGTCACCACGACTTTTTGCTCCTCTGATGTCCCTCGAAGTACGCGTGCGAATCGAAGGCGGCGGGGTGCGGCTCGGCACCGTGCCGCGGCTCGGCGGGATGCGGGCCCATTGGCCTGTGCAGCAGCACCACGTGCACGCTCGCCACCTCGCTATCGAAGAACATCGCCTCCGAGCCGTTGCTCCGAGCCATGCCCCCCGTGGCCATGTTCATCGCCGCCACGTGCGGCGCACCGGCGCACGGCTGGCCCAGCGGTGCCTCCAGCGGCTGCCGCTCCTCTGAAAGGAAGCAGGTGCAGCATGACACGAGCATGCACTTTCGGAGCCTCGCGCGGATCTCTTAGATCTGCGCTGAACCCCCCCGCGCCAGGGGCGGCGCCCGAGGCGCTGACAGGGCGGCTCCCGCGCAGATCCAAGAGATCCGCGCGGTCCTGAGAAAGTTTAGGTTTGTACCTCTGCTCTTCTTCGAGTTCCTCCGCAGGCGCGGGGTCGGCGGCCGCCTTCTCCAGCACCTCGCTGGCCGTCGACTTCACAGTGTAGATCACGCCGGCCGTACCAGCAGCGGCCAGCAACAACAACAGGTCAGACCACGACAGCCCAGGCAGGTCCTGCTTCGTGCCGCTGGTCCGCAGCCACAGGAGCGTCGTCAGCCCCAAGGGCGTGAGTGTCGCGAGCTGCTGAAGTAGCAGCCTCAGAAAAGCACCGCAAAGGCCCGAGCTAATCCCACAGCCTGATCCTGGCCCCGATGCAGCCGTTCAGGCCCATCACGAAAAGCGGAGCCCCCCAGAGACCCCGAGAAGGATCAAGCAGCCTCCAAGAGCCTTGATCGTCGAACCTCGATCGTATCGTCTAATTTCTCGTATCGTCCAACCTCTCGATCGGGGGCCCTCGATCGTCGAACCTCGATCGTCGAACCTTTCGATCCAAGGCCCGATCGGCTTCCCCGATCCTTGCCGGCCGCCGGATCGGCCCCGGCCAATGGCCCGATCCTTGACATCCGCCGTTTTTTTTGTTATTGTCCACTGCGCGGCCTCACAAGTTCCGACTCCTTCCCCGGGGCCAATGTTTAGAGGCCTCCCAAATGGGGCCCCAATAGATGGGGTCGGAGGATCGCGCCGCGTCGACGATGCATCGGCGATTCGGCGATGCATCGGCCACGTCGACGTTAAGAGCATCGGGATCCACACCGAGCTGCACCGCCGAGGCATCGCGAGATGCGGAGGGAGCGAGATCCCTCGACCCCATCTGCTCCGACCCCATCTGGGAGGCCCAGACTTCCCCGGGGCGGAGCTTCCGTCCCAGACTCATCCTTCCTCTTTCGGGGATGGGCAGAACCCCCGTTAGTAAAACGTGGTTTAGTGAAAACGGCCTTGGGCCCAAACCTGGCGAGCGCAAAAGCCTGGAAAATGACGGCCGCGGCGCCCTCTCGAGAACCGAAAATGGACGATTCACTGACCCACGTGTAAGAGTGGGGGCTCTGTCCACCCCTGAATCTGGGAGGCCCAGACTTCCCTGGAGCGGAGCTTCCGTCCCAGACTCATCCTTCCTCTTTCGGCTTCCTCTCGGTCCTACGGTTAGGTCGGGCCTGTCCTCCTACAAGGGGATTTTGGACGGAAAATAAAACATAGTCAAACAATACCCCAAAATGGAAGAAACATGTAAAAAAATCGTGCCCAGACTATTTTCTGACTATTTCTGAATATTCCCTCTGTAGGGGGACAGGTCAAACTTAATCCTACGGCCTGCCGCCGCAGAAGCGGCGGCGGAGGCCGCATGCCGCTGTGCAGCGGACGGCCCCCTCCGAGACGCTGGCGATGGGAATTTCTGGCCGCGCCCTCGTTGCAACCGCCGGCTGGGGATCGTCGGAGATCTGGCGTCGGGTCGGGCATGTCCTCCCGCAGGCGCATCTTGGAAGAAACATCGAACATAGCCAAGCAACAAATCGGGGTGCTACGTAATCAAGCATTTCTGGCCGCGCCCTCGCTACAACCGCCGGCTGGGGATCGTCGGAGGCCTGGGGTCTGGTCGGGCATGTCCTCCCACAGGCGGATCTTGGGAGAAACATCGGAAATAGCCAAACATCACAGAATCGAAACTTTCTGGCCGCGCCCTTGTTACAACCGCTGGCTGGGGATCGTCGGAGATCTGGGGTCAGGTCGGGCATGTCCTCCCACAGGCGGATCTTGGGAGAAACGTAGAAAAATAGCCAAACAACACATAATCCAGCATTTTTGGCCGCGCCCTCGTTACAACCGCCGGCTGGGGATCGTCGGAGATCTGGGGTCAGGTCGGGCATATCCTCCCCCAGGCGGATCTTGGAAGAAACGTCAAACATAGCTTAGCAACAAATGACCTGGCATTTTTGGCCGCGCCCTTGTTACAACCGCCGGCTGGGGATCGTCGGAGATCTGGGGTCAGGTTGGTCCTCCTACAGGCGGATCTTGGGAGAAACATCAAACAAAAAGCCAAAGAGCAATAACAACACCAACAACAACAACCAAGACAACAGCAGCAACAGCACCAACGCCAACACCAACACGAACACCAACACCGACAACAATAACATCAACAACGAGAACAACGAAAACAGCAACAGCAACAGCAACAGCACCAACACCACCACCACCAACGACAGCAACAACAGCAACAACAACAGCAACAACACCAACACCAACACCAACACCAACACCAACACCAACAACGACAACAACGCCACCAACAGCAACGACAACAACAACAACAACAACAACAACAACAACAACAACAACAACTACAACAACGACAACAACGACAACGACAACGACAACGACGACAACAACACGACACATCGCCGTCCTGTGCCGTAGAGGGCCGTGCGCGACCCCGCTCGAGGCTCGGCCGGCGGAGATCCGGGGCCTCCCGAGGCGGCCGCGCGGGGGCCTCGCGCCGCATCCCGCAGGGCGGGCCGGCGGGGGGCCGGCCTCGCCCGCCCCACCTCCGAGGAGGGCCGCCTGGAGCCCACCCGGGGGCGGCCAAGAGAGGGGGGCGCCCCGAGAGGGGCGGGCGCAGGTCGTGGCCGGCGGCAGGTGCGCGGCCAAGGGTCAGGTTGCTCCCGTCGTGCTTCAGGGCCACATCCCAGAAATAAGTTCGAGCACCCGGAAAAGTATCGAAAGAGTGCCGAAAGAGTGTCGAAAGAGTGTCCCCCAGGGCCCGGCACGTGAAAACCCTCGAGTTTGGGGGTTCTTTTCTGGCGCTCGAAATCGACATTCTTTCTGGTGATCAAGGCTAAAGCAGGTTGGAACATCATAAGCCAAGGGGCGGGGGGGGGGCCGGGAGCGTCATGAAGTAAGTGAGAAGAGGCGCCGTGGAATCTGGGGAGGCATCATGGCCCCCGCCACGATACCCGCCCACCCCCAGTCCGGGGGCGCGCAGGCGTGGACCAGCGATCCCCATGGATCTGGCGCGGGGTCGCCCAATCCATGGATCGGGGGAGGTGCCCTCCCCAGAATGCGGCCGGTGCCGCCTCGCTCGGCGGCGGAAGTCCGCGATTTTTCCCATGGAAGCGGGGCCCGTCGCCAATCCACACCCCTCGATCCATGTCTGCGACCGCCTGACGAGTCATCACCCCCCTCTCTGCCGCCCCCGACCCGCCTCCGAGGAGGGCAGCTCGGTGTGTCTGGCCAAAGTGGCTGCGGGCGAGACGAAGCCAGGACGAGGGCCAAGATCGGGCGAGGACAGGTCGAACACCTCTGAAGGAGGGCCGCCCGGAGACCACCTCCGAAGAGTCGGGGAGACGTAAGATGAAGGGGCCCAGGAACACACACACACACACGCATAGACACAAATGACAGGAATCCAAATAGTTTCCCATATTTTCCGGGTTTTCGTCTTTCCCTCCACTTCCCATATTTTCCCGTATTTTCCTGGGAGTCGATGATTACTTGTGTCTGTGTGTTCTTTCCTGAAAAGACTCGGATACAGGGGACTCGGATTGGCCCGACGGGTCCATCATTAAAATGACGAGGCCCAGTCTGAAATTTGACGCAAACTTCCGCCGCAGACATCCCACGAACATCGGACCATCAACATCCAGGACGCGCTCGTCAAAAAATGTCGGCAGACCCGAGTTCCGGCTCACTCGAGTCTTACGCTTCCCCGACAGAGGGCAGCTCGGCATCCCTGGCCCACGTGGCTGCGGGCGAGACGAAGCCAGGACGAGGATCAAAATCGGGTGAGGACAGGTCGAACATCTCCGAGGTACGCGGCGGCTTGGGAGGATGGTGATCCGGGCGCCGCAGCCTTCTCCGAGCGCCCCCTGGAGCGCTCCGAGAGCGCTCCGCCACGCTCTGCTGGAGCGGGCTTCTCCTCGCCCTGGCCCCGGTCCGCTCGGGACGGAGCCACGGCGGAGCCGACCGCACTCCGGCGCGCGCAGCAGCAGCTGCGGGCGACGCTCAGACCCCTTTCCAGAGCGTCCTGGGCTGTTCGGGGAGGGGGTGCCACAGGGCCGAGGCGCAGTGGACATGGAAGACATGGAGCCTCTGGGGGCCAGACTGCTGCCCCTACCCAGTGCGCCCCCTGGCTTCTGGGGAAGAGAACCGCAGACTCCAAGACGCACTGGATGTGGATAGAACTACGCGTCGTTCATGTCAAACCGTGCTCATTTCTACTCGTGCTCGTTCCTACTTGTTCCAGGCCCCCTGGTGGCCAGGAAGAGGCCCAGGATAGAACAGTCGGAAGTGACAGACAGGACCTTGGCCCCCCCAAAAAAATCAAAGAGCTTTCGAAGAAGTCGAAACGAACTGGATGTGTCCTCCTCTTCCTCTTCCTCCTCGTCCTCCTCCTCCTCCTCCTCCTCCTCCTCCTCCTCATCCTCCTCGATAGTTAGAACTAGGGCCCGCAGCAGCAGCAGCAGCAGCAGCAGCAGCAGCAGCAGCAGCAGCAGCAGCAGCAGCAGCAGCAGCAGGCGAGGGCCACGGCCTCGAGGCAACGGCGGCCCTCCCCCGGGCGCGTCGCGCCGCGCCCGGGCCCCGGGGGGGCCTCCTCCTCCTCCTCCCTCCTCCTCCTCCTCTCCTCCTCCTCCTCCTCTCTCCTCCTCCTCCTCCTCCTCCTCCCCCCCCCTCCTCCTCCTCCTCCTCCTCCTCCTCCTCCTCCTCCTCCTCCTCCTCCTCCTCCTCCTCCTCCTCCTCCTCCTCGGGGCAGGCGGCTCGTCGCCACGGCCAGACCCGCCCCGAAGGACCGATCGGACCTCTTGGCGTCGGTCGGGCACCTCGACCTGCCGGCGGGATTTTGGACGGGACAACGAATAGTCAGAAAATGCTCCAACCTGGTCAGAAATCCTCCTCTCCCCGGGCGCCTCGCGCCCACGCCCCGGGGGCCTCCTCGGGGCAGGCGGCCCGTCGCCACGGCCGGACCCGCCCCGAAGGACCGATCGGACCTTTTGGCTTCGGTCGGGCATCTCGACCTGCAGGCGGGATTGTGGACGGGAAAAAATTAATCAGAAAATGCTCCCACATGGCCAGAAGCAGGGGCAGAAGTCCTCCCCGGACCATCTTCGTCGAGCATGTGTGGAATCATTCCTCCTGTAGGGGGGCAAGCCCGACTTACACCTTGACGCCGAGGGCAGCGTGCAGCCGTGAGCAGCGACAGACCGCTTCCCCTTGGCCGAGCCCGGGCCGCGGGCGGCGCTCGCAGCCTGGAGCGCCCGCGCGGGGGCCGCCGCCGCGCTGGCGCGGCGCGAGCCCGCCGCAGGCAGGCAGGCCACGGGCAGGTCGCGAGGCGAGGAAGCGGCCCTGGAGTCCCGGGGAGCCGGCCGGGGGCCCGCGGAGAGCTCCCTCTATGGAGGGCCCGAGGTGCCCCCCCCGGGGATGGGCCGGCGGGGCCCGGGGCTGCCCTCCCGGGCGGCGAAGGCGGCCACCACGAGCCTCCCCGACGTCCCCGCGGAGTGCCGCGTGGCGGTCGCAGGGCGACGGGACAAGGCAAGGCACGGCAGGGCATGACGACATCATGCCAGGCAGGGCAGGAGTGATGTTCTGGCCATCGTTCGGAAGTCCATTCCCTGCGTTTTTGGGGGTTTCGTGCGTGTTTTTTTCGCCAAGCGATCAAGGATGCTCCTCGATGGTCCCCGCCGAAGGAAGAATCCACACGTCCGAGCGATGCCGAGTGTTGGCTCGCCGCAGAGACTCCACTCGCAAGGAGCAGCCACGAGCCGCTCCAGGATGCCGTGGCCACCGTCCGCCGCCACGCCGCTCCCCTGACCAGGCAGGGCAGGAACGAGAGCCCCCACCGCGGGAAGTTCGGCCCCTACTTGATGGGCCTGTTTTCCACCACCACCATCACCATAAGTTGGAAGGGGAGGGGGTCCTCCTCCTCCTCCTCCTCCTCCTCGCCCTCCTCTTCCTCGCCCTCCTCCTCCTCCTCCTCCTCCTCCTCGTCCTCCTCCTCCTCGTCCTTCACCTCATTCCCCCCTCCAACTTATGGTGGTGGTGGTAGTGGTGGAAAACAGGCCCATCACTTCTGTGGACTACTCGGCTACGCGCAAGAGTGACCCTGGGTAAGAGTGACCTTTGATGCGCGGCTTGTGGGGGGCGTTAGGGGGCCAAACCCAAGCGCGCAGGCCGCTGCTATCGCATCGCGCCCAGCGATCGGGGGGGCCCGATGACTCCGCACCAAAGATCACTCCGGCGAAGGGTCACTCTTATGGTGGTGGTGGTGGTGGTGTTGGAAAACAGGCCCATCACTTCTGTGGACTACAGGTGGCTCCGCACGTCAGCTCCGGGCTATCGGGCCGTGCTGCTCCTGCGTGCCGCCCTTCTGACACGTGGCTGGCGTAAGAGGATCGGCGGGCGGCCTTCCGCTCCGAACGAGCCATACATGAAGGGGCCCTGGGACACACAAATAAATACGCACTAATAAACAGACTCCCAATCTTTCCGAATATTTTCGGGGCTTCTGTCGTCCCCCCACTTCCAATAGTTTCCGATATTTTCCTGGGGATCGACGATTCGTTGCGTCTGTGTGTTTCTCCCCTCCTGACATACACATCTGCACAACTGCACATAACTACACGACGCGAGTGTGTTGCCTCGCTGCTGTGCTGTGCCAGACCAGTGGAATTCAGCACTCAGCACGTAAGATGGTGAGAGCCATCATCGACGAGGAGGGGAGGCTTTCCTCGTCGACATCTTGCTCGATATGTCAGATAGGCGAGATTCATACTGTGTACATGCATGTACATGAATATGCATGCATTCGATCTCTAGCTCGGGCAGGCATCGTGGGCGTCCTCAATGGGTGTGGCCCTGCTGGTGATGCTGTTGTCCTTTTCTATCTCCTTTGATAGAGAAAGGAGGCAGAAGGTGTTGGAATGCCTTTTCGGGGGGAGGGGGAGGGGATCGAATGATTCGGTGGGATCTAGCGCGTTCTTGGAGGGCTCTGAGGCAGAATAATGAGACAGGGAAGAGGGAAGGGTGAGAGAGGGATGGAAAGAGAGAGAGAGAGAGAGATAATGACGGTGATCATATCAAGAAGGCAAGAGCCATAGATGCGGGATTCACTGTTTCCGTGGAGGGCGCGCACCTCACAACCTCGCCCTCTTGGCCTCTGGCACAGCGGGGCGCGTGCCAGGCGGGCCATCACATGCGTCATCCCGCTCGCCCCTCGAAGCCTTGACGCGCTCAGCTCCTGCTGGCTGCGAGTGCAAGATGGGGATCGTGATGTACTCCCACGGGTCGCACCTCGGTGGTGCGCAGTCCTGTTGCGAAGGCAAGACTAGACCGGACGAGGACAACTCGGGGATCGTCGTCGTCGTCTGCTTCATCGTCTGCTTCTTGTCGTCGTCGTCGTCGTCGTCGTCGTCGTCGTCGATCTCTGTGAGCTGGTGAATCCAGAAGACGCAGCGGGCGCCGCGGGCGTCCCAGAGCGATGCGGAACGCTCCGAGAGCGTGCCTGGGCTGTGGTGTGGAGCCTACTGGGCGTTCGTTGGGATCTCGTGGAAGGCCTCGCGGGGGCCTTTTGGATTATGTTGTTCCCATCCTGCTTAAGGACCACATCCCAGAAATAATTTCGAGCACCCGGAAAAGTGTCGAAACAGTGTCGAAACAGTGTCGGGCGAGTATCTCCCGGGGCCCGACACGTGAAACCCTTTGAGTTTCGGTACTTGTTCTGGCGCTCGAAATTCTTTCTGGTGATCAAGGCTAACGTAGGTTGGAGCATCATAACTCTTGGAGGCAGTTTGGATAACTCTTGGGGGCCGTTCGGGGGCCTCTTGGGGCCTCTTGCGGGCCCCTCGGGGGCCTGTTGGGGCCTCTTGGGGGCCTCTTGGGGGCCGCTTGGGGCCTCCTGGGCGCCTCGTGGGGCCTTCTGGGACCCCTCGTCGCCCTGGACCTGCCCGATCGGTAACGTGCGCCGTCCTCCCCAGATCCCACGTTGGTGGAGCGATGGTAGTACCGGACCGCACCGGAACCGCGTATCAGAACTCGCTGCGAGACCGTGCCGAAGTGCGGGAAGTCGGCGCGCCACGGGCAGAACGGGCCCGTGTGCAGCAGCCCCTCCTGACGAGGCGTGAAGTGGTCTGGCAGTTTCGCGGGCGGCTCGATCCCTGGCACGTCGAACTGCCCCATGATCTCTGCGATCCCAGCGTGCACGGCCTCCACTGGCGGCGGCGGTGCCAGCGGCAGTGCCGCCATGAAGCCCGCCACCCGCTCCCGGAGCCAGCTGCACTTGGGCCACGCCCCGCTGCCGGCCGCGCGGTTCTCGTTCGAGACCACGAAGACTCCCTGGCGGACCTCCTGCACGGGCCCGGTCGCGAAGCGGACCAAGCTGCCATCCTCATCTTCCTCGGGGCAACACCAGGAGTACTGCACGCGCGGATCATCCGATAGAGGAGGAAGAAACTGCATAAGCATAACCTTTCGGAGGTCCACGCTAATTTCTTGGATCGGCGCTGGGCCCTCTCTGGCGCGCGGAGCACGCCAGGGGCGGCGCTGCAGGCGCCGCCAGGGGGGTCCAGCGCCGATCCGGGAACTTCGCGCGGTGCTCCGAAAGGCCGTCTTTATGCAGTTGTTCCTCCTTCGACTGCGAAGGCGTTGCCGCACACGACGTGGAAGGGGTCCAGCAAGTGCTCGTCGATGTATCTCGAGAGTTTCGGGCTGCGCCCGCAGGCGAGGTGCTCGACCAACCGCCCGCGGGACGTCACCGTGGCGGGGTCCCGCTTGTGCCTCGTGCGGACGTTGGTGAGTGCAGCGAAGTTCCCCGAGCTGGCTGGCGGCACGCGCAGGGAGTGTTGGGCCTGTTTTCCACCACCACCACCATAAGTTGGAGGGGGAGGATGAGGAGGATGAGGAGGAGGAGGAGGAGGAGGAGGAGGGGGATGAGGAGGAGGAGGAGAGAGGAGGAGGAGGAGGAGGACGAAGAGAGGAAGAGAAGGAGGAGGAGGAGGAGGAGGAGGAAGAGATGGAGGAGGACCTCCTCCCCCTCCAACTTATGGAGGCGGTGGTGGAAAACAGGCCCATTAGGAAGGGCGTGGGGCGAGGGAGGGGGCGGCCTCTGAAAGAGACAGGGGAATTTCCCCATTGAGTGTTGGAGGCATCTGGGAAGGCGTCATGGCAGGAGGATTTGTCTCCTCCTCCTCCTCCCCCTCTCTCCTCCTCCTCCTCCTCCCTCCTCCTCCTCCCCTCCCCCCTCCTCCTCCTCCTCCTCCTCCTCCTCCTCCTCCTACCTCCTCCTCCTGCCCCTCCTCCTCCTCCTCCTGCCCCTCCTCCTCTGCCTCCTCCTCCCCTCCTCCTCCTCCTCCTCCTCCTGCCCTCCTCCTCTCCTCCTCCCCCTCCCCTCCTCCTCCTCCTCCTCCTCCTCCTCCTCCTCCTCCTGCTCCTCCTCCTCCCTCCCAACAGAAGAAGAAGGTTGGCCAGCGTGGGCCCCAGGCCGCAGGTTCCTGCGCCGTGGATGTGTAAGCCAGGCGGTGCAAGCCGTGTGGTCAAAGCTGTGTGGTGCGAGGTCCGCGGCGCAAGCTCGAGGAGGCAACGATTTCGCACCGAACGGCAGCGTGGCGAAACCACGCTGGGCCCACCCTTCGCACGAGGCGGCAACGAAGCAGCAACGGGCGGCAGCGTGGCGAAACCCCGGCGAGCCGCAGGAAGGCAACGAGGCGACGGTGGGCCGCAGCGTCGCGAAACCTCGCCAGGCCCTCCCAGCGAACGATGCGGCAACGAGGCGGCAACGGGCGGTGACGAGCGGCAGCGTGGCGAAGCCTCGCTGGACCCACCCAGCGCACGAGGCGGCAACGAGGCGGCAAAGGACCCAGCGCACGAGGCGGCGGCAACGGGCGGCAACGTGGCGAAACCTCTTCGGACCCACCCAGCGCACTGGGCGCCAACTAGGCGGCAACGGGCGGCAACGTGGCGCATCCTCGCCAGGCCCAACCATTTCCGTTGGGACAAAACGGCATAATCATAAACTTTCCGAGGTCCGCGCGGATCTTCTGGAGCGGCGCTGGCCCCTCCTGCCCGGCGGGCGGTGCCGCAGGAGCCGCCAGGGGGCTCCAGCGCCGATCCGAGAAATCCGCGCGGACCTCCAAAAGCTTACGTTTAGGCAGTTATTCTTCTTCTTCGACTACCTTTCTGGGAATAGTTTTTCGCCCCAGATCGGCCCTGGAGGCCGAGATCGAAGAAGAAAAGCCAGGTGAACAAAATAGACATCGTCGAAGACCTGGGCCCCAAACTCGATCGTCGGATCGGGGTCTTCCGAGGCGGCCGCTGCTTGGGGGGCATTGCGAATCATCTTGCCGAACTCGAAGGAAAACGCCCCACATGTGGCGGCGCGCACAAAAGGGTAGGGGGAGGGGTGAAGGCTTCTTAGAAGCAGGGGCGCTTCTAAGAAGCCTTCCCCCCTCCCCCTTGTTACTCCCCTTCTGCGCGTGGCCGACACACTAAAAGTATCAGATCGTCGGAGATATGGGCTGCCAGCGCTGCACGGTTTCCCCCGGGGCCGTAGGCGACCCGAGGAGGAGGAGGAGGAGGAGGAGGAGGAGGAGGAGGAGGAAGGGAGGAGGAGGAGGAGGAGGGGGATGAGGAGGAGGAGAGAGGAGGAGGAGGGAGGAGGAGAGAGGAGTAGGAGAGGGAGGAGGAGGCGAGGAGGAGGAGGAGGAGGAGGAGGAGGAGGAGAGGAGGAGGAGGAGTGGAGAGAGAGAGTGAGAGGAGGAGGAGGAGGAGGAGAGGAGGAGGGAGGAGGAGGAAGGAAGGAGGAGGAGGAGGAGGTGGAGGAGGAGGAGGAGGAGGAGGAGGAGACGGAGGAGGAGGCGGACGGGTCGCCCAAGCCCTTCGGAGAAACCCTCGAGCCAGCGCAGTCTCCCTCCTGCGCGCCGCCAAGGCTGGAGTGCAGGCCCATCACGCAGCCCCCGGCCCGCAGGTCGCGGCCGCAGACCAGCCCCGTCTCTGGCTCCAGGCGGTCGCCGGATGAGGGCCGGTCGCGGCTCTCGTCGCGGTTGTGGGCGCAGATGGTGAGCGTTCTTTTATTCGGCGTTTCGACATCGGGCAGAAAGGGTGGGTGGGAAGGGGGGGGTCTGGCTCCAGACTTCTGCTCAGTGCGACTGTTTGCGAGAGTGCTGCCTCTGGGGGGGATTCCACCCGCTCGAAGCAGGCGCCAACAAAAACAGCCAAGATCTACTCCATGGGCGGGGGGGAGGGGGGGGGTTGGGGGGCCCGCGCCGATCGGCAAACCAATGAATAAGAAAACGATCACATGAGCGGGTACGCCGGGTGGCAGCCGATGGCCACCACCAGGATGCACATCGCAGGCCGCAGCTGTTCGGGCACGCGCCGACATGGACCACGGATCCGAGGATCTGGCGCGTGCGCGCCAGATCCACAGATCGGGGGAGGCCCCCCCGGAATCCACGAGGCCGGTGCCGCCTGATTTGGCGACGGAGCTGGCCGATTCTGCACGCAAACAAGACCAGTCGCTAATCCACGCGCCTTGATTTATGTCGGGCGTGTCCCCCTACAGGGGGATTTTCGACGAACAATAAAAAATACCCCAAACATGCACCAAAAAGGTCAAAACATGCTCAGAACATAGTCCCCAGACTATGTTTGGACTATTATTTGATTATTGTTGGGGTATGTTTTATTTTTCGTCGAAAATCCCCCTGTAGAGGGACAGGCCCGACTTAAGCCTTGATCCATGTTTGCGCTTCCCCGACGTTCCTCGATCGCTCGAGATCGGAGCCGCGACGCCCTGTCCACAGTGGCTACAGAATGTCCCCCTCGTCCTCCTCCTCTCCCTCCTCCTCGTCCTTGTCCTCGTCGTCGTCGTCCTTCTCCTCCTCCTCCTCCTCCGCCTCCTCCTTCGCCCTTCCTCCATCCTCCATCCCCACCCCGGACGCTCCCTCCTCCCCCCTCCCTCCCTCGCCGCACATTCATCTTCTCTCCTTCCGTGCCTTCTTCATTACCTCTCTTCGCTCTTCTCACCTGGCATCGAAAGGGTAAAACGGAGACAGCCAAGAGTCTGCCTCCTGTGCGCCAGACGTGGAGGCGCTTATGGGCACAGCGGGGAAGGGATGGATGCAGGATGCTCCCACGGTATTGCCGCGCATCTTTTGAGGCGCGCCTGCGCGCTGTCACGTGGGCAGCTCCATCTCCTTCTCGCGCACGCCTAGCTTGTCTGTGGCGGCTCTCTCAGCTTGCCCACCTCTGGGGTTGCCCTGCGGTGCGCTCTCTCGAGGGCGCGCCGCTCCTGCTCGCCTCTCCCTCCGCTGCCGCTTCTGCTTCTGCTCAAGCTCTGATCCCAGCTCCTCCTGCTCCTCCTGCTTCTCTTATTCTTTTTCTCCTCGTCCTCCTCCTCCTCCTCCTCCTCCTCCTCCTCCTCCTCCTCCTCCTCTTCCTCCTCCTCCTCGTCCTCATTCCTCCAGCCGCTACTGCTGCTTCTGCCACTGCTCCGCCTCCTCCCCCTTCTCTACAAGAGCGGCTCATGCCGAGCATCCACCCACCCTCGCCCCCGAGCGCGTGCTGCGCGCAAACATAGATTCTCGACGCCGGAGGCGCTCGGAGTTGCCGAACGAGGGGGATGTCCAGAGGGATTCCGGCCCCTCTGCAGCTCTGGACCTGGCCGAAACCCGCGCGCTGTCCCGACACGCCTTGCTCTTGCATCCCGATGCTGTGCGCAACTCGATGGCGCAAGCCACCAGGCACCCCTTGGCTTATCTCGTACCGCGCACAGCTGAGCAAAAGTGGGACTGGAGACGAAGCGAAGGACGACGACCACGACGACGGCGGGACGGGAAAAGGAGACACGTAGCCCGCAAAGCAGGGTTCGGACGTTCCGTCCTCCCCGAGGCGCGTCGAACGTTTCGTGCGACCTGAGGCGCCGAGGACATCGGCTTAAGAGGACGAAGATCGGCGACATGTCGGCCAGCGCCGAGACATCCCTGCCCGGCAGGGCGCGCAGCGCCCAGAGCTAAACGTTTCTGGTGCGCTGGCTTTTGGGGGGGGGAACGTCGCCCTGGAATCGGCGAGGCGTCGCCGAAAGATTGGCGATAGGCTCCCAATAACGAAAGTGCACGGCCCTGGGCGATCAGGCCCCTGTCGGCGTCGATGCATCCCCCCCCCCCTGAGCCTGTCCCCTGGCTGTTTTCTGGTCATAACTCGGGTCTCCAGCGGTCGTTCCAGACGATCCGGGCACCCCCAGAACGCTCTCGGCGAGGCGCAACCGCTGGACAGCATCCCGAGGCTGGAAACCGACGAGGACCGACGACCGCATCCGAAAGCCCCTAACCTCGAACCATTGTTCTCCCTGAGCCTAGCCCCTCCCCCAAAAGTTGCCCCTGACCTCCCTGCAGATCTGGAAGACCCCCAGGGCAGACGCGAGCGCCGCAGCAGCTCCTGGACGCCTGCGCGGGCTTCCGGGGCCGGCGCCGGAGCTCGGCCACCAGTGGGTGGAGCCCGCCAGGGGTGCGGGGAGAGGGACCCAGCGCTCAGGAAGCCCGCGCTGACCTACACCCACACTGATAGTAAGAATGATCGACTTCCAAAGGGTAGTTGCCCTTGCATCCTTGCCTCTTCGGTCGTGTTCGGACCATCCTCGACCACTTTCGATGGCCGGCCCCGCTCGCAAAGCTCCTGCATGGGCGTCCAAGGCTCTTGCACCCTTATCGGGCATCCTTACTATCAACTCTACCGTGACTGCACCCAGATCTCCGACAACATGATTCCCCAATCAGTGCTTGCACTGAAGGGGTCCAAGCGGAAATTTCAAGATGTGGCGCACATTTCCCGCCGATTTTGGTGGCCGGCTGGGTTCCCCGGTTCCTGGTCATTGGTTCCGGCCCGATTTCGGTGGGTTCCCGGGTTCCGGGGCTCCCGGTCGACCTCCGTATCGATCTCTTGATCGATCCCATTTCAAACCATCCACTGATTGGGTTTTTCTCTGGTGTACCTATCGGTCGGAAGAAATAGGTAGACACATGAAGTAGGAAAGCGTCGAAAATAGATTGGGTGTCCGCCCGCCCCCTGAAGAGGACGGACAAGGGGAAGCCATTCGATCCTTGAAGTACGAAGGCGCTCAAAGTAGATTGGAATCTGGGACTCCAAAAACACCTACTTTTAACGACCGAGGGGTAATTCTTTCAGCCCGGGTGTTTCTCCTCGATGTCTGCCTCCGACGTTCCGTCGTTTCCGCGTCCAGTCTTGGCCGTGGTCCTCGCCCAGCCCGGCGGCACGCAGAGGGAGGTTGCGCGGGCATGGGCCGTCTGAGAAAGAAGACGTCTTCGTCGTCGTCGTCGTCGTCGTCGTCATCGTCGTCGTCGTCGTCTGCGAACGCCCCGACGAGGCCCGACTGCCACCCGGCACCTGTCAACGACGCTCGGCCTTCTTCCATCCCGGCGGTTTGCCTCCACCTCGGCCCCTCGGGCGCCCGTGGTCGAGGCTCTGGGGCCATCGAGCGGAAGAGGAGGAGGAGGAGGAGGAAGAGGAGGAGGAGCAGGGAGGAGGAGGAAGAGGAGCAGGGAGGAGGAGGAGGAGGAGGAGGAGGAGGAGGAGGAGGAGGAGGAGGAGGAAGGAGGAGGAGGAGGCAGGAGGAGGGAGGAGGAGGAGGAGGAGGAGGAGGAGGAGGGAGGAGGAGGAGGAGGAGAGGGAGGGGGATGACCGGATCTGGGGGGAAAGACGGGCTCCGGGGAGGGGTCCCGACTTCTGGCGCCGAGCACCGAACAGCTCACCTCGGCGGACGTCAGGGTCCAGCCAGACCCAGGACAGAAATACAGTCGAGGCGTTGACCTAAGGAACCCTAAATAAGGAACGAGGCCCCTGTTTTCATAAGTTAATCTTCGACTTCCCATCGAAAGCTTAAGGAAAACCTTGGGCAAGGTGTGGAACAATTGAGGAACACCGAGCGCCTCCCCAACGAAAAGGGTTCCTTCTTCAGGGCCCCGACTGTATGTCGTCCATGAACACGAGACCCTCCGCCGGCCAAAACGCCCCAAACCAGAAGATCACCGAGGAGACCCTGCCCCTGCATGCGCAAGAACATCCAGCATGCACGAAGAGCGCCAGGGTTCGGCGACGAGCGAAGGGGGGACGTGAGAAGGGGCGGGCCTTCTCAGAAGGCTCGAAAGCCTCCTGACAAGGTTTCTGCGCCTTCCTGGAGACTGAGAAGACTTCTCCGAAGGGGCGAAGGCTTCTGGGAAATCCCGCCGCCTTCTGCAGGTCGGTGTCTCGACCCTGGCAAGGTTGGGCGGAGCACGAGAAAGCCAAACACGAGAAGGACGAGTCCCAATCCTGGAAAGGGAACAGCCCAACCCTGGAAAGGGTGCATGCAGCCCAAACGTGGAAAGGGAAAGGCCCTACCCTGGACCCCCCCGCCGAGCACTGGAAAACACGGCAGATGGAGGAGCAGGAAGAGGAGAAGGATGAGAAGGAAGAAGAGGAATAACATAAGGAGAAGAAGGAGAAGGAGGAGAAGCTGGATAAGGAGAAGAGGATAAAGAGAGAGAGAGAGAGAAGGAGGAGGAGAAGAAGGAGAAGGAGAAGGAGGAAAACAGGAAGAAGAGGCTCGTGCCCGGCGCGGCGGACGACGCAAAGCCCGGCGCACCCCGCCAGCGCCGAGCGGCGGGCGGCCCGAGCAGCGGGGAGCACAGCAGAAGCAGAAGGAGGAGGAGGAGGAGAACGAGGGAAAGGAGTACAAGGAAGAGAAGAAGGAGGAGGAGGAGGAGGAGGAGAAGGAGGAGGAGGAGAGGAGGAGGAGGAGGGAAAAGCGTGCATTTTTTTCTAAGGGAGGTGAGGAGCGAAGAAGGAGGAGTACAAGGAGAAGAGGAGGAGGAAGGAGGAGAAGGAGGAGGAGGAGGTGGAGGAGGGGAGAGGGGGAGGAGGAGGAGGAGGAGGAGGAGGAGGAGGAGGAGAGAAGGAGGAGGAGGATGTGGAGGAGGGGGAGGAGAGAGAGGGGGAGGAGGAGGAGGAGGAGCAGGAGGGAGGAGGAGCAGGAGGAGGAGGAGGAGGAGGAGGAGGTAGGGAGGCGGAGGAGGAGGAGGAGGAGGAGGAGGGGAGGAGGAGGAGGAGGAGGAGGTAGGAGGAGGAGGAGGAGGAGGAGGAGGAGGAGGAGGAGGAGGATGAGGAGAAAGAGGAGGAGGAGGAGGAGGGGGAGAAGGGTGAGGAGGTGGAGGAGGAGGAGGGCGAGGAGGAGGGAGGAGGAGGGCGGAGGAGGAGGAGGAGGAGGAGGAGGAGGAGGAGGAGAAGGAGGAAAAGGAGTACGAGGAAGAGGAGGCCCGGTGCTCGGAGTGGCAGACGACGCCAAACACATCGGTGTCTGCCGACTGTGCTCGGCAGTCCCCTCCGAGCGAACCCAACATCACCGAGTGGAATCAGACACCGTGTGCACGCCATCTCTTGGCAAACATTGCCCGACCTGGAACTGTGATGTCTTTCGGCTGCTGGTACGTTTCCGAGCACCCCCCAAATCACCAAATTAGGTCGGGCCACCTGTGCACGCCATCTGTTTGCGAACAACGACCGACATAGAACAATGATTTCTAGCATTTGCCCGGTAGCTTCCGAGCAACTCGAAAATCACTGGTCGGGTGCCGAACCCCCAATGACCACCATCTTACATTCTCGGGCTTGCGCTGGGACTTCCCTGCCACTGGCATCACCAACAGATCTACAACCTTACAGGTTAACAGACGCACAGAGACAGTTTCACTCTCCAAGCCGCTCTTGATCCAAGCCAGCGCCGCTGAAAACCACTTCTCCCATTGCTGCTCCTCC